TGGAGCAAAGCTGCAGACCTCACCTGGATGCAGATGCTCAGCCAGGTCTGGTGGGCATCAGCGTTTTACACAGGGCTGCGTGACCCAGGGTGATGATGGGGTGCAAGAGGCAAAAACCCAAACATAGGGAGGCTGTATCACGGCTACTACATGGTCTAGCATGAGAGCTGTGGCATGGCCCTGGCAGCCCCTCGGTTTGTGCCACTGTGCAGCTTGTCGGACTCATGGCACTGACTTGAATTAAAAATAGCTTGACCAGAAACAGTTCTTTTTAATCTAGACCTCATTCAGTACGAGCCAGGCAGGTGTGTGCACAGGACAGCCGGGGACTGGGATGCAGGGCAGTGGGGTATGAGACAGCGGGGCTGTTTCAGCTGCTGTTGCCACTAAAAGAAATGGTCTTTTACGGCCCAAGACGGGATCCTAATGGAAGATGGGTATCCAGTATAAAGGTGCGGTGCTTCTTCCTGAGCTGATCGAAGTCTGCTCTGCTGGCAAAGGCCCTCCAGCTGCATAAGTGCTGGTGGTGACACAGGGGATGGTAAGGGACGACCTGGCTGGGGACACAGGCAGGAGAGGAGAGAGTGGGGCCATCCCTTCTGGCAACAGCAGGGATTTAGATTGTATCAGGAGGGGAATAGTTATGCTATCAAAAGCCTTCAAAGCATGAACTCTTAATTAGGGTAAAGATGGAAAGAGAAATCACAGGTCATAGACCTGTAGTTAACTAAAAAATGCTGGTATGCCTGAAGCCCATAGTCGTAAGAGCTGGAAGTGGCCAGGAGACATTCATGAGTCATTTCACTGATCCACAGAGAACAAGAAATCCAGACTACTAATGCATCTGGTTAGTTATGACTAGACTCAAAACTATGGCAACTGTTAAGGTCAAGCCAGCCAATTCAGTAGCCTTCTTTGCCACAGTTACTGGTGCAACAGCTAAAGGTTATGCAATTAGATATAGTGCAGTTGGATTTCAGAAAGCCAATTGGTATAGTGCCATGCATAAACATAAAATACATTGCTTCCCATTTAAGTAAAAATACCGTGGTTTAGCAACTAGTTTTCCAGCAGGGAATGGTTATTAATGGTAAGACCAGCTGAGGAGCAGCATTAGTCCAGGTTTTAGAGAAGGTACGATCTACACCTGAGTTATTTTGTACAGAGAAACAAGGGTTATTTGCTACAGCCACTGACAGCCTTGATGAAGGTGTATGTTGAGTGGGGTCAGGTGTGCTGGGGCACCGGCCTGGAGGCTGCAGGAGAGCCGAGCCGAAGGACGGGGAGCTCCGGGGGATCAGGAGATCCGATTCAGCAGATGTCTTATAGACAGGGAGAAGAGAATAAACCTGCACGACAAGCAGAGACCCTCGGGTTGTAAGTGAGAATGTCTTGTGATAGTTTCCAGTAAATGAGTGCAATTTGATCCAGTTGCTAAGAAAGCCATTCAAACTGATTTATGTATAAAACATAAAAGTTAATGTCAAACTGACTCTGCCAGCATGAAAAGCCCTGGTCCAAGCGCATTCCCTCCTTACCGCATGACTGATGAGGCCAGAGGGGCAGCAGACAGCAGAAGTAGTCGTTTCCTTCCCAGTTCCCTCCAGAAGAGATGAAGGCAGGGAGTAGAGGGGCTGCTGGGGTGACCTGCCTTGGTTTGCCTCAGTGGAGGGTCCTGTCCATAGCATGGTAATGGACTTGCACACTAGCAGGTTTCAAAACTGCTTTAAATCTGTTATTGAGAAGCGAGTAGGTGCAAATCATGCACTGCTTACACGCAGAGATTTGAACCTGGTTGCACACAAGGTATTCATAAATAATTATACCTGTTGGACCAGGACAGAGGTATCTGAAGTGAGTTGCAGTCATTGTTGAAATACATGAAATGATTGTGTACAGCAAAAAGATGCAGAGCGGAGTTCACATTTCAGAATGAGATCAGATTTAATTCATTTCAAAATGAGATCACTGGAGCCTGCTGCCTGGGTCTCGTTTTCCCTGTTTCAGGCTTTCATCCGTGCTGAACTCTTGCCATGACTGAATTCTGCAAAGGGTTCCAGGCAGGTTCTTGTCCAAGCGCCAGCCTGGTTGGGTAAGCTGATTAACTGTAAGATCAGAGTGTGACAAGGAGTGTATTGCAGGTAAACAGTGAAGCTTTTCCTACAGCTGAGATTTAGCGTAGGTATGAAATATGTTTGCATCCTCAGAGGTAAGGAATGGTGCTTGAAGAAGCCCCAGGAAAAATACCAAGAAGTGCATTAAAATGATAAGTAGAACTGATAAGGTACATGGCGAGAGACTGAGAGGAGAATCAAGCGCAGATATGATCACAGCCTATAAATACTGTCAACATGACAGCACAGATGAGCAAAAGGAAGATTATTTGTTATCTGATGGAAAACAAGCTTTAGGAAGAGCAGTCATCCCAGCAGCAGGGTGGTGGAGGGGATCCCCAGGAGCGGGTGATGCTTGTCAGCCAGGATGGAGGGAGATAAGGTCTTGTGGGACAATAGCAAATACATCTGCAACGTACAGATGGCGAGATCAGCCGTAGACCTGAGCTGTCCTTGCCTCCCTCCGTGGTCCTGCACAGACCAGGAGGTACACGTGCACCAGAGGGGTCCCTTGGGGGTCTGCAGTATTGCTGGTAAGGAGAGACGTTTGCTGTCACACCAAAAATGTGGAAGGATGGTGTTCGGGGCGTGAGCCTCTCTGTTCCTGTCTGTGTTCCCTTGCTTTCAGGCTCTGTCGGGGCCGTGGTGGCACCAGCGTGGCCGGGGACGCCCTCGGACGAGGGGGACCCCTCTGCCGAGCCTTGCGGAGGGGCTGCTTCCCTCCGGGCGAAGGCAGATGGCTGCAGCAACCTTCGCTCCTCCGCCGGCCCTGCCTCCTCACAGCTATCGTTGCCCGCGGGCAGGAATGCCACATCTGCTCCTGGATCATGCCGGAGCCCTCCTGGTTTCCAGCCTGGGCTGCGGGAGTAAACCCAAGGAGAGGGAAATCTGAAACTGTAGCTTCGAGGGAGCCGGGTCAGGAGCAGCCCCGGCTTTGCACCTGCCTTCCCCCAGGGCTGAGCTGAGCTGGGAGCAGGCTGACAGCCTGGCCCACCAGTTAGCAAGGCAGCCGAGATGTGAAAGCCCTGGGAAAGCGTAGGGGAAGGTAGTCTTGCATTATACCCAACTGCTGGAAGACGAGCGGGGAAAGCCTTTGCAACGGGGACGTAGCGCTTAGCCACCCAGTTGGAAAGCTTTTCCGTGGATGGCCAGCCGCTGCCAGTTAACCTCTTGGCTCTCCTTCAAAGCCCCTCATCCCCCAAAGCTCGCCCGGTTGTTGCGGTGCCCATCAACGAGATCAGTGCTATACGCACCATCCCAGTGGCACGGGGATTGCCCTTGGTGCCCACGGTCCCTGTCTGCGGACTTACTTAAATTTTTATTTTATAGCGTGCTATTCAGGGTGAGCAGACTGGGGAATCGGCAGGCTGGGCTGATTGTAACATGCTCTTGTTGGCATTTGTGGCAGCTTGGGCTATCCGTATCTCTCCTTCGGTACCTGGGACAGGGTTTGTGTGAGGAAAAGGAGGAGGTCTGGGCCACAGGCTGTGCGAGTCCGGCTGTAGTGGAGTATGGGTCCAGGAGTGTTTCTGAGGATCCCCAGGACGGCCTGCTTTTAATAAATCTGTAAAACTGCTTATTGCACAGATTGTGAAGATGGGTGCTTCTAGAGCAGAGTGTTTCGGTACCTCAACACCGGTTCATTGATTACTGCTTCGCTGCAGGCTTATTTAACAGCCTTTGGTTCTGGCCTACTTTTGTGCCTCCCACAGCCTTTTTAAAATTAAATGTGGAAGGGTAGTGCTAGAGATGTGCACAGCACTGGCCAGACCCGCCTGCGGCATGCAGTGCTGCAGGGACCAGCAGGTGCTTTGCTCCCATCCCAGTAGCAGTCCGGGATGGACCGCCAGAGGCTTGTGGTCCTGAAGGGTTAATTGGGGATAACTCGGCCGGTCTGGGAATGCCAGCTGGAGACCAAGAGGTGCTGGAGACCAAGAGGTGCTTAGCAGGTCTTTCATTCAGCCACTTCACCTTGCTGCGCGCCAACGGGCTGATAGGGAGGCTCTCCAGACTTGGTGTTTGCGAAGCTCTCGAGGCGTTCCTGGGTTCTCCGGGAGCATAAACACGATAGTTATGCTGCACATCTAGAGACACGGCTCTGAGGAAAACTGCCTTGGGAGCAAGTAGCCAGCCTGTGCCACCCTACCCCAGACAACTGCCCATGGAAAGATGTCTCAGCTGACATCAAAGGAGCCAGCAAACGATAGGCATCATCTAATTGCTGCCTCTCCCCTGCCTTACTGCAGGTTGTCATTCACAGTCTGGGGATTGTGTGTGTGTGTGCGAGTAGCACGTCACCATGGGCAGTGGCAATCCTACCTCCGGGATCTGTATTATCCAGATAAGGTTGCATGTGGTGACATTTAAAAACCTGAATGGCGTCCCGCTGTTGAAATAAAACGAAATGGCATTTCAAGGTCTTGTTTGGAGAGAACTGGCCTTCTGCAGTCCCCAGCCCGCAGCTGGAGCGTGTGCTTTCCTTATGAGCGTGCTGAAGTGGGGGGGCAGGCGAAGGGAAGGGGGGATGTGGTGGACCACGGGGACCCGTCTGGGCTGGAAGGTGGCTCCCGTGCAGCACGGGGAAGGACTGTGGTCTCCCCTGGACAGAGGTGGCCGGTCCTGAACTCCAGCCGCTCACCTCCTGCATCCCAGCGTGGCCCAGCGCCGAGCCCTGCCCTTCGGCGCCTTGTGATTCGGTGCCTGGCTTTTGGGGCCAAAGACGACATTTAGAGGGAATTTTTCTGAATAACCCTGTCAACAGGAATTCACATAAAACAACTAAAGCAACCACAGCCACGTTGCCTTGGTTTGCTCATGTCTGACTCTGCTGGAGCCTGAGCCCTCTGTGGTCCCTCACATTTGCTTTCTCTTTCTCCACAGAATGCGATGAACTTGCCGCCTGACAAAGCCCGGCTTCTGCGGCAGTATGACAACGAGAAGAAGTGGGAGCTCATCTGTGACCAGGTAAGGAAGGTCCGGAGGGCTTTTGGCAGACATCTCATTGAGAGCACCAACTGGGTTTCATCAGCAGTGTCCATGGGCTTAGAAAGGGACCTTGCAGATGACAAGTATTTGAATAGTTTCAAACACTCATTTCTTTGGCCTTATGCTCCATTATTGGTAACGACTCATAGAAGCCTTGCAAAAATAATGCTCTCTTTTGCCACAGAGCGCTATTTCTTTCCCCTCTGATGTTACCGTCACCCCTGTGCCCGTTTTCCCTGGGCGGTGGTGAATGCTGCTTGTTTTGCCTGGCACAGACTCGAAGAGACTGACCTTCAGTCACCTCTCAGCAAGTGCTTTGAGTTTGGTCTGCCTTGCCCTGTGTAACTTGAACGAACGGTCTCGATCCAGTGAGTATTTGGCTTTCCACATTACGAGCCGTTGTTGCAGTTGGCAGTAGCTGTTGCCTTCGGGGAGAGGCGAATGGTGGTGCAGCTTGAACTCCTCTTCGCCTCCAGAGGCTGAACAACAACCTCGGATTAAGCAGCACCATATGCTGAGGCATCTTTTGTGTATGAGTTCTGCTGTGGCGTGCAGACTTGGCAGCAATATAGAACAATTAACAGGTTGGCTCTGCCATGACAAATGAACAGAAACGGCATTATTTAGAGAAAGTGAAGCATGCAAAAGGTAGGATGTGCATTTGTGAGCCAACAGCAAAATCAGGTTCTGCCATACACTTCAAAAGTAATCGCTAATGAAAATAATTGATCCAGGACTGAGAAAGTAGGATGTTTCCTTGAGATGTAAACACAGCGGTACCAGGATGAGAGTTTGGCAGAAGGTACAGTCATGCTGTGAGGTCAGGAGTGTTTTAATAAATAGATTTGCGGGACATTTCCTATTTAGCTATTACAGTGGTGGAGCCTCTGATAAAATCCAGCTAACTTAAAGTAAAGCTGACTAAAGAATTACTTGCTTTTTTCCATGCGTTTTCTCCGCAGAGAATGTAAAGCATTGAGCTATTTAAAGTTTCAGTTTAGTGAGACACTGAACAAATTGCTTAATCTACTGTAAGTGATTTGTTTCATGGATGTTTGCTTAGAGCATGCACACTCAGAGCATGCACACAGAAGTGTGAGCTTTGTGCTGGAGTCTGCGTGCTGGCTTTGCACTGAGTTGGCAGCGGGGCAGGCAGAAGCAGTTAGATCATAGCCTCGATGTGCAAACTCCCACCTCAGAGCTGATCCACCCTTTGCAACATGCAGCTGCTGCTGATTCATTCCTGAACTATACAGCAAGATAGGAGGGATGAGCAGATGGAAACGCAGGGGAGGAAATATGCAATCTGGAGTAATCGTGTATCTTAATAGCTCTTTGCACAACACTTGAGTCCACCCCCGGGATGCTTCCCATCACTTGGAGAGGGTAGGCAGAGAAGCAGCGCAGGACTGTTGTAACTGGCACTGCAGAGCTCAACGCTGCGAGGATCCCGAAGGGACGGGAGGTGACGGTGTGCCACTCTTCCAGGGTCCTGCTATCCGAGGGGATGTGCAATAAGGGGCTGCGTATCTGTGATCCGTCGCAGCTCCCCAGCTGCCCTGGTATCCCTGGTGGGTGCTTGCCAGCCACTGTAAATTAGAGCAGCACGAAGCAGGTGTCTGTAAAAGCACCATAATACAGCATATGGGGTGTGAAATATTTATATCTGTCCACATAATTATGGCACGTGGCTAAAAGTACTTCCAGGAATAGAATTTGTACAGAATGTATCTTTTTAGCATGGATGCAAATTTTGACTGCTATTTTCTATTGGTATCACCCATTATACCATTTTCACCCGTTTTTGCTTAGTGAAGGACTGAGGATGTAAATTAATGTAACAGCTTGAGGCAATTAACTGTTACCCTCCTGTGCTGGTTTTCAACTTAAGTCTGAAAGGAAAAAGTGTCCAGAGGTTGCTCTTAAATGCTATTTTCTAAATAGTCTGTAAAGCAGACCCTGGCCATTTGTCTGTGAAATATTTTGAGAATATTAGGGGAGAGAGTTCAGCCCCCAAAAGGAACTCTCACTCCTGCAGAAGTGAGATTAAGCAAAGTGGGGAGCTACCAGTCTGATGATGATGGTAACAACAAAACCGACAATAATAATCTGTCATGAGCAGGGTTGTGCGTGTTGTAGTGAATCATTGTAAGGGTTGCTGGGCTGGTTGTGGAGGACTCATCCCGTGTGGTCCTTTCTGTTCGTTTGTCTATAAACCTTGCAAGTCATCTAAGCGTTGCTGCTGGTGTCCTGAAAGCTTGCTCCCTCCCTCTCTGGCTTAGCAGACAAGGAGGAGAAGAGGAGCAAAGCCAGCAAACCGGTTGCCCATCCTGGAGAGGGCTGAGCAGTGGTCATCTGTGGGGTAAGCGCTGGGACAGATCCAGGCAGGGAAGAGGATACCATTTTCTGGCATGGCGAGCCACCCTTTTGGTGTACTCCAGGCCTCTTTATCCAGCTGTGTGCCATGAGGCGTTGCAGGGGGCATGGATGTTGAGGGAAGAGGTCGGGGACATCTCACAAAGTTCTTCGTTGCCCTCTAATGGCAAATTGTGGCAGGGGCATCACCATGTCCTCACCTTTGGAGACACTGGAGGTGTGAGTAGGGAGTAACGAATTAAAAGACCTAAGGCGAAAGTCGCGCAGTTTACATCCAAAATGCCATCACTGAGGTATTTGTAGGACTCTCTCCCTTTCCTAATGAAACTCCAAATGAAGGCAGGTGCCGGCTGTTTTGGAGGCTGGCAGCCAGCATGGAGCTCGCTGGGATGGCGGTGGGTTTCTCCAGCAGCCTCCCAGGCAGGTGGTCCTCCGCCATCCATCATCCCCGCTCGGGGTCCAACGTGCCTGTGTTGGGGGTAATTTCATCTGAACCAGGGCCACGTGGGGTGCCGTGTTCCGCTTTAGGGTTCATTTCAACTTGTGACCGAGAAGCGTGCAGGTATGGGCCCTGTTGGAGACACAGTCAGTGCACACTAGCGTGTGCCACACACCTGCATGCCCTTGAAGCCAGGCTCGCTTCTGTGCCCCGGCCTCCTCTGCCGCTGTTCATCAAGCTTTGTGAAGGGAAAATGGCATGCAGCCTTCCCCTCCATGAACCAGGTCTGGGGAGAGGCAGTTTCTTGATGTTATTTTTATTTTGGGTTTTTTTTTTTTTTTGTGAGACTGTGCGCTATGGACTGGTTGAGAGTGTAATCGCACAGAGCCACAGTGGTCCATGCCTGCCACGTTAAAGTCCAGAGCACTGGGGAGTACTGACAAATACCTGTGTGTCCTTTGGATTTGGGCTGGGAGTTACTTTAAAAACATGCTGGGCCATGTCTAGGGTGCAGGCAGCCCTCCTGTGTGCTGCCCGTGGGTCTCGGTGGGTGGCTGATGAAGAAGGGGACAGGCAGCGACCGCTGGACGGGACAGCGAGGAGCAGGGTGTCATGCGAATGCTGCACTATTTGTTTGACACAAATATCTCAGGTGAGCCCCAAACCAAACTTCTCCTCAGAAACGTGATGAAGAGATGGTGATTGAAAAGTGGTACCTCACTGCTGTGTGTTGCCATATGGTGCCGTTAACCCTTTTGCAGCAGATTTTTTGACAGCATTCAACCAAGCATTTTCCATATCTTTGCACGTGCTTCAGTAGCCATTTACAGCTCTGTTTTGGGACGCTTTGCATAAAAAAAAAATGTTTGCGTACCAATGAATTTCCCCTGATGTGGGTAAAGTACAGGCTAGAATATCCTGTGTTTTATTGAACTCCCGAGCATTTGGACAATAGAGATGCTCGTGGCTTCATTTATCTGACTTGCTGGCCCTGAGAGAGGTGGCTCACTGAAAATCGGTGAACGATGGAGCAATCGGAGGTATGCGCACGGGGCACGAGGGGTCCAAGGCTCAGCGACGCGGGGCCGGGCAGTGGTCGGCATCTCCAGCCTCGGAGGGAGCATCTGCGGCTCTTGGCCGGGTCCCTTGCAGAAGCACTGGTGATGTGGTTTTGCAGTAAATTAATAGTGGTGGAAATAGATCCCTCTGCCCCCTAAATAGTGCAGAGATGAATGGCTGCTGTCGGTTTGTTCCATAGTAAGACATATAAAGTGACATACTGTCCTGCTGGGGGGCTGGCTGGATTGCTGGGGCCAGGAGCTGACCTGCCCTCCAGGTCTGTGTGGGACACAGGACGGGTGGTGGAAATGTTCACCACGTTTACGACGCGTTTGTGCCTCGGGAGTGAGAAGATGCTGGTCTCCAGCCCTGCTTGTCCACCTCCTTTCACCAACGTTCACCTTCCATGTGCTTTGTGCACTCCTAGCAGTTACTGCTGCCTGCTGGGCTTTCTGACAAGCCTGGATACTGAGTGAGATGCACTCTGTGCTTACCTAATGTATATGAATCCTAAGAATGAAACACGTTAGCGAGGGTAATAATAATAATAACATATGTCACTAATGCAGAAAATGTTCTGAATGTTTTTGGAAGCAAAATATCTCTGGAAAAGCCACAGTTTCCTGGTTACGGAATTAATAGGTTTTCCAGATTTGGGTGAACAAGAGATGTGTCGAGTTCTTTGTAGGATCACATGGAGGAGGAAATGCAGAAATCCAGCAGTTCCTCTTTGCTGCTGAAGTAAAGCCCCTCTCCCAACCCCCTTTTTCTTGGTATCCATCAGAAGAGAAAGTGCTAATTCTGGGGATTGCTGGTAAAAGAAGCTCAGGAGCAGTGTTGTGCTCCCCCATCCAAGTTTTTTCCCTGAATACTCATCATTTATTACCCTAAAGGGAGGTGCTGGGGACTAGCTCTCTGGTCCGGTACCACTGGCTCCTTGTATGTACTTCTCTGCTCTTGTCTGTCGTTCTGGCTTATAGCAGCAGTCCTCAGCAATTTTTCAAGTAAGAAAGGGCCTTTTATCCTTGGGAAATTAAGTTAGTTTGCTTTCTAGGTGGCTGACAAAGGCAGGGTCGAGTTATTGCTGGTCTGCGCCTTTCTCCTTTCAGGGCTGTAGATAGTGTTGGTGCTTATATGAGTCACGTAGTGGAGATAAAATAGGTTTCATCGGGATTTATTAACTTTGTTGTGTCTGAATGGCCCAGTCCTGGGGCGACTGGGAGGGGAAGCCACCATGTCCCAGTCGTGATGTCACCCACTGGCTTATGCTTTTTGCTCAGCGAAATTTGGAGACTCAAATAGGGATTTTAAACTTTATATGTGTGTGGTAAAAATCCCTGACCTCCTCGTTCAAATAGCGTTAAACCCTTTGCCATATAAATTCTTATTTTGAAAGCAGATTTGGCCAGTGAGCGATTGTGAATTGCCAAAAGTGGAGAGGAGGAGCAGACAGGAAAAAGCAACAGTTTTAACTCGTTGTTTACGGTATGCAAGGCAAGCGGATTACGTGTGAACAGCAGTGCTTCAGCATTAGCCGGGAAGCGTGTTTGTCTCTGTAGGGAAGTAAATGCTCTCGAGAAGGACCAGAAGGACCTTGAGAGGACGCCGGGCTGGCCAGCCTGCACAGTCGCTTACAGCATTCATGGCAGGCGAAATACCAGACTGCAATCACGCTGGTCCGACGAAGACTGGGCCTCCCCACCCCATCTGAGCTGTGGCAGAGCATCATTTTTATGGGAGGACGACGGCTGCAAGCAGGCGTTCAGGGTGTCCCGGAGGCGTCAGGGAGCCTCGGGCTGCCGTCGGTGCACAGCACCAAGCCCTGGTTCTTGCAGCTTGAAACGTATCAGCCTCTAATATAAAACAGTCAAAGCTGGATAAACCGAGACAGTAATCATAGCCAGGAAAGGGCAATTTTAAAGGCTAATCCCTCATGGCTTTCCAAAGCAGAAAAAACACTTTAAGGGGCTATAAAAATGTTTCCAGGACTAGTAGATGTTTACCACAAGTGGTTCTTGGTCACAAGTTAGAGAAGAGCATTGCTGGTATCTGCTGTTCATGGATAATGTCTTTAAAATCCTTCAACCCAAATAATTCCACTATACAGTAATGAGCAGCATCTTTTTTAATGAAGTTGCTGTAGAGATTATTACATAAATACATAATTACAGCTAGGATTTAAGAAGACAAACAAAAACATATAGTATCTGCATCACAGACTACTAAATGTGCTCATTGAGTCTCTTGAAGCATTTCATTTTGAAGACTCCAGATATTAAAACTGGCAGTTAGGAAAAGCTCCTGTCACTTCAGCAGATGATGGTTGATTAGTTAGTAAGAGAAATAAATCCATAAGAGTAAAACAGCTTCTCTGGAGGATTAGACTAAACACAGCAGAGCTACGTTGGCAGGAGAGAACCCCCAAAAAGGGGAGGAATAAATAGGAGAGCTAACTTGGAGCCATGTTAGTCTGGGACTCTGCTCTCAGGAGGAGCCGGCTCCTGCTGTGCTGGGGCTTGCTGGTGCTCCCACGTCACCCACTGCTCTTCAGGAGTGGACCTCTGGCTTGATGCTCCACCACTTCACTCCATCACTTGCAGATGCAAAGAATAATACTTGGATGTGGTTATCAAGCGGCACAGCGAAAACACTTCTACCTTTGTGGTTTTTGTAGAGAAGGACATGGTTATTCAAATGCTATAATGTCTCTGGAGCTAATATAAAACTGTTGAGGAGGAAAGTGAGAAATGGTGGTGGTCTCCAAGGTCCAGCTACCTCTATGAACTCTTACTAGTCTACAATGGGCCAGATGCTCATTTACAGCAAAGTGCTTTTTGTGTCTGTCTGCCAGTGTGAAGAAGTTTTAAAATGGGTTAATGGATGGAAATTGCTTTTAAATAACTTATATTTATGCCCGCTGTAAAGCCACAGTATCCTGAGGGGGCTGTAAGTCTGACTGAGAAACTGGCCTAACAGTGTCCTGTAAAAAGTGCAAAAACGAATCAAGCAGTTAGACTACTTTGAATATTGACATCTTATTCTTTTGTCTGATTTACTTTACGTGCTTTTATTTTTTGTTTTTATTTTTTCTATTTCCTTTCAAGCCCCTGTCAACATCTGTGGGTGCTCCTGCTCCCATTTTCTGGAGGGTTGGATGCTAGGGCTGACCATTGGGCACCTCCCGGGATGTGGCAGATGATTTCTGCTTGTGCTGATGGAGCTGCGTGATGGAACCCTGGCACGTCGTTCCAAAACCTGTCTGTAACTCCATGCATCTGTCTCTTGCATCTGTCTATCCCAACGCACTGGTAGCAGTTCCAGTTAGGAGCAGATTTAACTAGAAGGGTGTGAAAGGGACTGCCTGACCCGTGGGGGCCAGCTGGGATGAGACTGGCTCCAAGTATCCGTTCCTGTAGAGCCAAGAGGAAGCCATGGTGGTGGGGATGGTGCTGGGGCAGGATGGAGCACGACAGACACTGTTGGCATCATTTTGGCCAGAGAGGAGCTGGCAACAAAGAACTTTGCATTTTCTGAACTGTTCTTTAGATAAAAAAGAGATGCCAATTCCAGAACTGTGTTTGGCCCGTACGTGTGAAGGTGCACGGAAAAAAAACCCAGTTGTAAAAGAGGAAAGAAATGTCTGCTCTCTGTCTTAGAGAGCTCTTGCCCGGGGCTGATGGACCATAGGGCAGACTTTTTAGTTCATTTTTTCCTGCTGACCATGATGAATTACTTTTTTTACAGCAAGTGGCAAGATAATAACAGGAACAACTTTTGGTGTTCAGACAGTACGTTCTGGTAACTGGGCAGCAGTGTCCTATTCATTATGAAATAACTTTCAGATAATGTAGTCAAAATTGCATCCTGACCTAATAAAGGGAGGTTTCAGATATCAGTTATAAAATGCAAAATTTCAGGAGGAAATTGTTTTGAGATCTTTCCTCAAGGGAAAGGGCAGAATAGTTTAAAATTCTTCCAAGATACTAATAGTATCAGAACTTTTGGTAATGCTCTTAACAGGTTTGGACACAGCATACTCCTTGCAGAACAACTTGTGTTTCACAGCAGCTTTATAGGATAAATTTCAAGCTGGCTGTGTGACTGGTAAAAAAGCAAGCAAAAATCAAGCAGCTCTCAGAACACAAGCCTTGTAGACCTTGTATTTCTCATCAAAATCTTTAATTCCGTTCTGAACGTGGCTGATGCTGGATTGCAGATCAGGTGTCCCCCTGTAAGGTTAGGCATTGGGGAGCCTTCGGTGAGAAACGAGTCTCAAAGGCAGGTAGGAATTTCTTGGCACTGGACTAGCAGCAGGTGAGTGAGATGGGGAAGGGAGGTCAGGCACGCTGGTGGTGTACGACAGAAAGCAGGAAAGCAGGCACGGATAATGAGAGGTTTTACGTGGGTAAAGCCCACGATCACAGGAACTTGCCTTCCTCTGTGTCCTGAGGTTGGTAAGGCTCCAGCCATAGCGGGGAGGAGAGAGAGGCACGTGGTGGTTCCCAGGCTTTCCCAGTGGGATGGGGATGGGCATCTGGTCCATAGTTTTTCCCTGGTAAGTGGAACGGTGGCCTTGGTAGCACTTGGTGGCTTGCTTCCCACCACGCTGGAGATCTCTCAGCTCTGCCCTCGTGTGACATAGGTGCAGAAGGAAACCCTCCGAATCGCTGGGAGCCGTGGGTGGCTGGGACGAGCTCAACCACCAGTGCCGTCCCCCTGCAAGCAGTGCTGGCGGAAAATGGTGCAGGGAGCTGATCCCAAGGCACGATGAGCGTGTTGGTGCTCGAGCATCGTGTTGATGTAGGAAGTGGGATGCTGCTGTGGTTGGGTGTATTTACGTAGAAGAAACAAGCCCTCCTGTGTGGTGGCTGGGTAGGGCTGGTAACGAAGTTTGCATCGTTACTGCCAGGAGAGGTGGCCAGCCTTGTGCGTGCTTTGTAATGGAAATAAAGACCGAGAGCTGGTGCTGGTCGTTGTTCGCCTGTGGAGCCCCACCGAGGACAAGCTGAACTGACCATGGCCAAAATACTGGGTGATCACTTTGTGCGGGTGGCGGGGCGGCTTCGCCTGTGCCCGTGTGGCACTGCCTCCTCGCCAGTCCGGTGCCCGTCCCTGTAAATGGGAACCTGCGGGAAGGGTTGGGCTGGGAGCTGGTGGGCCGCTTACAAAGGCAATCCAATTTAATGTCATGGAATTAAAATATTACTTGCTTATTGCTAACGCACCACTCTTGCATTCATTTTTCTGGAATCGGAACAATGAAGTGATGAGACTTCTCCCATGACTAGACCATGCGGTGTGTTTTTAGGGTTGTTCCAAGTGATAAAAAGAGGTGTCTTGGCTTTTGCGGTGATGCCTTTCAATCAAACATGGACACGCGTCTGGTATTCTAACACTTCCCTTGCCTCTCAGTACTCCTGGCTAGCAGAAACCCTGTTATTTCAGATGTGTGTGTTTGTGTAACTAAAATTGAAAAATGTCATTGAATATCTAAGGTATATTTTTATTCATCCTATATAAATATCAAATTTCAGAATATCAAGATACATGCAAATGTATTTTATTTGCATGCATAGATTATATACTTAAGAAGATAAGGTATGTACATATAAAACTGTATTATAAATATGTACTGTTTAAATATATATGTGTGTGCATGCATTTTATATGTGTAGTAAGTAAATATAGACGATGTTATAAAATGGCTGATGTTTATTCTTGTATCCTTTGCAGGAAAGATTTCAAGTGAAGAATCCTCCACATACATACATCCAGAAGTTGAAGGGCTATCTGGACCCGGCTGTAACCAGGAAGGTGAGGAGCGTCCTGTTTCCTCTCGCCTGTCCCTCGTTTCTTGGCGAGGATGGTCCCAGGGTCCGGGTTCCTTCCTGCCTTTGTGTAAAAGGCCCCAGAAAAGTCTCTGAGAAGAGTCTTGGAGAGGTAACAAACTGCAGAGAGAAGCAAAGAGAAATTGGAAGGACGCTGCAGTTTTCGCAGCTCAGAAAGGAGAACAGATGTTGCAGAGAAAAGGACCATCTGACACATGAAACAACTTGTTTTAATAACTTTAGCTTCAGTAGTTGATCTGACAAATTATCACTGAGCTGTACTCTAGGTCTGACTTTTCATGTGGGCAGTGCAGGTGGTGAATAAAACCTCTGTCGGATGGCACTTTTCTCACCTGTGTGAAGGGGATGTTGAAGTTTGAGTCGTTTTCTCTGGGCATTTCCATGACAAGTTCAGTACACCTGGCACAGTTCACCTCTCCCTTGCACTCTCATCTTGAGGTTTCAGGGTTGTGCAGTAAAGACGTAACCTGGGGTGTATTTACATGGCAGAGCCTCATTCATCCTTCTGCATATTATTTTGTACAAAACAGTTTGATAATCACTCATGAAAGACTCAGGCACTTCACTTGGCCTTTCACGTGAAAGTCATGCATCCCTGAATGTGGCTTCTGTACCGAGATGTATTTGTGGCTGGTTCTGATATTTCTGCACCGCTCCGATGGACTTAGTAATAGCTTCCAAGACTTCAGAATAACAGTAAACCTACATCCCAGTTAGAAGACCATCGCTGAACCTTTGGTATTTAACCACTTTGGATATCAGCTCATATCCTGTGTTGATAGTTATAATAGCCTTAAAAAAAAAAAAACCCAACCAAAAAAAAGGCAGCGAGAGCATAGCAGATCCTGCCATTGACTGGCTCTGCCTTGTCCTCAACAATCGCTGCTTTGTGTTGCGGTACAATTAGCTGAGGTTGGTGCCCTGCGGTAAAATACGTATCCTGACACAGGGCTTCCAGGCCGGGGCCGGCTCCAGCCGCAGCGGAGGTGCACCTCCGTCCCTGCGAAAGGCGAGGGGCAGACACTGGGTACTCTGTGCTTCCAGCGCACCGTTGCTAGCTCGTGTTTTCAAGGCTGCAGTAATGTCTTCTGACAGTGCTTCTCTTGTTGGAGGCTCTGACAAGGAGTAGGAAACCATTTAGTAGGAAACCTTTAAATTTGCCTGTAGCTGATTATAATTTAAAAAAAAAAATGGTGAACAGGGGTCTTTGTGTTTTTCTCCTGAAGGGTTTTTGAAATTCGTTTGGTGTTTGGCTTTGCTCTGTGGTTACTCCATGGGCACACATTGAAGCCTTTCTTATCCTAATACCACTATACGAGTCCCATGACAAATGACAAAACCGAAGGAGCCTAAAAATAACTCCGTTGAGTTCCTCTCTTTTGTTGCGTTATTCTGTATTACCAGCAGCCTTTCCTCAGCCTGGGCTGTGAGGCGGAAAGATTTACAAATGGGCTTCTGGACAAACGCGTGATATTGTGAGGAGAGCTCGTCTTACCAGGATTATTGCTGTAATTGAGGTGGTGTCAGCTTTTTTGCTGATGATCCCCAGCGTGGCCAAGAGAAGGTGGCTCCAAACGCTGCTGCAAAATGTGTGTTTCAGCTTGTAATGGGGGTCATAATGGCTCTTCCCAGGAAAACAATTGCTTTTCATCCGAGCTGAGTTTTGAAACAGGAAAATGAAAGTGTTGAAATTACACGTTTTTTAAAGAGATTGCAGTTTGGTGGTTCCTGGAGCCCAGTAAAGCACAGAGCTGGTTGATTGTTCTCTGCTGTGGTTGCAAAGAGCAGCTTGGCCTCGCTGGGGTGGGGGATGATGCTCCTGCCTATTTCTGCCGTGCCCTCCCACCCCAGTCTCCTGTCTGCCTCTTGCTATATCAATTTTTTACCTTTACTTCTAGAGGAGTAAGGTTTTACGCTGCTTGCAGTTACACTGTGTAAACTCTCTTGGGAGAGAAGGCACTGTGTCTTTGTACTCCTCAGCTAATGAACTGAGGTCCAGAGAACCTGTATGTCTGATCTCAACCAGCTATTTCAAAGGAAAAATTAGTAGTGCCTTGTGTCTCCTAGGACTTTACAGTGAGACATCTATCTCAGTCTGCCAGTGGCTTTCTGAGCTGGTATTTAGTCTTACCTCAAGTGAGCCAGTGGTGCTAACTAGCACGTGATAAAACCCTGGTGAAAAAGGCAGCTGATAATTTTCGCATAGGTCAGCAAGGCAAGGTAAATCCTATCTTTTCATCATCTTCACCTCAGTAAATGAACTCATGAGAATTATTAACTGCCAAGTAGTCCCCTTGATTTTATTGTGGTGCACTGAGAACAAACCCTTTTTTCCCTAGTATTCAGAGCGTAGTCCTACTTGCAGCGGCATTGCTTGTGTCCTAAGCATTTATAAGCCCTTTCCAAACACATCAAGTCTGTGTGTGATAACTGATGACCAGGTTGGTTGTTAAGTACTGCAGTTCCAAGGTGATTATCGTTGTCCATCCACTTCTGCTCTCATTTACCTTGTTCACAAATGAGAATTTACCGAAACAACTCCTCTAGAATAATTTATCCAGCTGTTTCAGTACATTTCCATGGGCAGGGAGTACCAGGCAGGAGAGAGGACCGCAGTCTTTCTCCGGCTGGGAGAGGAGGAGGCATCGCTGGCTCGCTCTGTCTGCACACCAAAGGTAGCCCTGCTGCAAACTGGTTTTGCAGAGGATGGGGAGGAGCTGTGGAGAGGAGAGGAGACGGGTCAGTGTGCATTTAGAGGTCTTCAGCCGTGACCGGTGCCCTCTTTGAGCTGTGAAGTGGGGCTCTCGCTGCGTCCCAGCGAGGTTTTGCCAGGTTGCCCTTTCTTTCTCCTCCAAGATGGAGATGACGTGAAACCTCATCTCCTTTCTGCTGCAGTGTTTCACTTTTGCCATTTTATGGCCTTTTCCCAGCATCTAATTTTGCAGATACAGTTTAGCATGCACAAATTATTAAAGCATGCAGATGGCAGCACATGTGTGTTTCATTATTGGCTTGCATCCACAGCTTTGGTAATTACACAGAAATCATGGCAGGTTTTTTGGTGTGGGTGTAAAGTCGCGAAAGCGAGATTAAAGCACTAGGCTGAGAATGAAGCCCAAACACTGTAGTTCTAAATTGAGAGTTTGATACTAAAACAAAGCTTGTATTGTAAAGAACTGTTTATTTATCTACAGGCTTTTAATTTTCTTAATCCTGGAAACTCGAAAATGTGCATGGGAACAGAAGTTATTTTTCTGTGTGTTTTTGTTGACTGCTGGACTATCGTTGTTGCATTCCTCAGGATTTAGAGGGGTTCTCAGTTTACCTTAATGTTTTATTTATTCAGTCTGCGCTGCATGAGATGCTGATATTTTTAATAGCATCACATGAATCTAATTGGTTTTTTTGCCTGCTCATTCAATTACAGAAATTCAGAAGACGAGTCCAAGAGTCTACTCAAGTACTCCGAGAACTGGAAATTTCTTTAAGAACAAATCACATCGGGTAAGAGTTTTTGATGGCCTCTGGTCTAAGGTGGTTTGTTGGGGGTTTTTTGTTTTTGGTTTTTTTTTGTTTGTTTTGGTTTTTTTTTTGTTTTTTTTACATCTACTGATGGATGTCTTTGAGAAAATATCTCTTTGCATGTCAAGTAGTGATACCACTTGATTGATTGTTAAAGCCTGAAGGGCTCAGTTAAGAGACAGCTGGGCATCTCAGGAGAATAATTCAGCTTTAATCCTTTCATGATGGGGTTCATCCACATCTCTGTGAAGGCTGCAAAAAGATTGCAGTCAACTTCTGCTCACCTTAAGTCAATCAGAGCAGGAGTGAGCATGTTTGTGTCTAGAATAGTAATTGTATTGCAGCTATAAATGTATGTATAAAAAAACCCCATGCTGTTTTATAGCGTTAACATGCTGCAGTTCATGAAGCCTGGCTGTGCATAGTGTTACCAGGATTTTACTTCCACAAAGCAGAAAATTCCTTTCAAATAGGAAAAGTAAAAGAATCACCAGAGACTTAGTTTTTTATCGAACGTGCCATTCCCATCCGCATTTCCACTGGTCTCACCTCTCTGCTTTGGGTGTTGGAACCAGAAGCCAGTTCAGCACTGGTACATCAGCCAGGAAGGTTTCTTCAACGTTTTGTGTCATGATCACACACTGTGTCCAGCTCAATTACATCGATTTTACAGGGTGCTGCTCTTATTTTGAGGAAACAAGGGTGTTTTAAGCTGTGGGAGGCAGCTCCCCAGCGTGGCATGCATGGACGGCGTGCATGGCAGTGGTGGTCCTTCCCACAAGCTGCACCATCGCAAATACTTACAACAAACTTCTCCCACACCCCTGCTCTGGCTCCTGCTATGTTTACCCTCGTTTTCCAACACAAAGGATTCCCCATCAGAGACTTAGGGCATCTGAAGCGTGATGTTCTGCAGATTTATGATGGCTCATGGATGTGCAGAAGGAACCATGATGGTGCACCAGATAAACAAAAGAGACTGACAAGGCCAATGTTTATTTATTTGGTTCCCTTGGCTGAAAGATGTGTTTCAAAATATGTTTTATAAAAATACCGAGTTGTTTATTTTAGCAGGTAAACAGCGAAAGGTTTAAAGCCTGAAGACTAGAATAACTCAGAGGTAATGAATTCCCACTCTGCTGAGAGCAGGGGATCCATAGCTGCGAGACCCTGGAGGCGGACGAGCCTGGAGCCCCCCAGTTCCCTCCCTGGCTCCCCACTCATTCCAGTGGCACCTAACCCACTCCTGGTGGGGTTTTGGCTGCCCCGGTTGTGGTTCAGAGGAAAGCTGAGCTGGGACTGTGCTGAGGGTCCTCGCTCGCCAGGGTTTGCCCCTAGATGGATAGATTTTCAAACTTTATTTGGCATTCTTGAGTTTTTGAAAGTTTTGGAAGATAATAGACATTTCTGAATTGCAGATTATTTTGCCTAACTCTCAGGGGCCAAAATTCACAGTAACAGGTTAACACCTTTTAAAAAGAGAAGGCAAAATTACTGTTAAATGTATGTCCAGAATGTCAGATTACTCTTTTGCTGGTCTATATGCTTTTAAAGACTGCTAGAGATCAGGATGTGATAAAAAATAAACCAGGTCCCTGTGACTCATGCGTTAGAAGGTGGCTGTAACCACTGCTCAGCGGTTTGTGCAGCAGTGCGTGCCAGAGAGGAGATGAGCCTGGGTTTGGAGTGAAGCCGAACGGCAGCCGAGCTCCCCAGCGCACCCGTGGCCCTCTTGCAGCAACGCTGCTATGGTGGGAAAGGCACTTACCAACTCGGGAGCTCAGTACTTAGAAGGGGAAACATCTAGTTTCTGAGCAATGCAGAGTGTGCATAGGGATTTTTATGCCTTTTTTTTTTTTTGGAATGTTTTTCCCATCATAGTGCTGCAAAAAAGCTTGTTTCAATACATTTGTAAAGTCCTCTAAAGGACTGTTTTAAAAGTCCTCTACATAATAAAGGGCATTTTAAAAAAGTCCACTTTTCCTGAGTGAGAAAGCAAAGTTTTGCTCAGCAGTGCTGCCTTTCCTGGAATGGATCTGTCTCTAGTTTTTCTGACAAGAATTCCAGTAACTGCACAAAGCCCATGAAATGCTCTGATGTCTAATGATTTTTCTAACAGATGGGTCAGGGAGTTCCTGAATGAAGAAAACAAAGGCCTGGATGTTCTGGTGGAGTACTTGTCGTTTGCGCAGTATGCAGTCACGTAAGTAAGACATGCCTGGTACTCTCTGGGCTTGCAAGGCAAAGCAAGAATCCTGCCATCTCTACAGAGCAAGAGAGGGAAATGCCAGGGCAAATGCTCAGCTTTCCCTGTAGCAGAGCTTTCCTGCTAGCAGCTTGGTACAATACTATGTACGTACCTTAGAGCAGAGAAAATGGTAGCATTAGCCCAAAACTATGGCATCATAACATTTTGCAGAGAAAAAAAAGCCTAAGTTTAAGCCTTGAGATTATTTATCACTATACTGACATATTTTTTACCTTTGGCCTCTGACCATCCTAGGGGTACAGTGTAAAAAACATTCAACAAATGTGTAGAAGCATGCAGGCTTCCACAGAAATAGATTTGCAATTAGTGTCTGACCCCAAGGTATTACAATCCTGCCTACCATGTTCAAAGCGACATCCACACACAAACCACTCCTCACCAGGCTGCTGGCAAGCAAAGTTGTTGGCATCCTGTGCAGTAGATGCAAGGCAACAGTGGGAATTTCAAGGTAATTTTGCAAGTTGCGAAGACTATAAACCAAGCTTTTTCAATTCTGACATCCGCTTAGTTGGGAGTCAGATTTAGTCCTTTAGATAATAAATCATTAAATGTATTCTACTAAAACAAAATGGGAAGAAAATCAGCTGTCCTTATATCCCACAATTTGAAATAGATGTTCAGCTGAGGATCTGTTTTTGTATATCCAAAGGCTTTCACTGAGGATATTGTAGCAGTAGATTTTTGTATAAAATTGTATGAAAAGAAGCGGTAGGTTAAGGAACTCAAGCTGAGTAGAGTTGATATTTTATTTTTAGAAAAGTTGCCATCAAATGTATATATATCATCACACAGAAAAGAGATTTTTTGGTGGGGTTGCAATAAAATTAATGAAGGAAAATTATATGTTTTAAAATGTTACTAACACTGGAAAAAACTGTGCACAGCAAAAAGAAGTGTTTGTATAAAGACTTTCTTCCTAAAATTATACAAATGTACGCAAGTTAGCTTGCTGGGTTTTCCCTCTCTCTAACGTGGTAAACATGAGTAATAACCTCAAAAGCTGTAAGAGGAACAAGCAATTTTTGCTTGAAATAGCAGTACAATGGGCAATGAGTCAGAAATCAAAGAAAATCTGTAATGGTTATGGTAATATATTACATATGCTGGGAGATTTGTGAGGGCCAGCAAAGCAGTGTAAATGCTCAGCCACATATCAATGGAGTAAACTGAATTAGTACTTGCAAAACGTGTTGATTTATTGAAATAAAATGGAGACAGCTTTAAGCATTCCCCCTCTTCCCTTCAAGGCAGGGCTATTCATCAGCAAAGTGGCCAACGTTGTATTTATTTTACATTGAAGTAGAATAATGCGTAGCTGTTTGATCCTTCTGAAATTGCGTGCTCATGTGGTCAGCTGCTCCCCTTGTCAAGGTCCGAATTTGCCGCACTGTGCATTTGAAGCTCGCACTGAATTTCAGCCTGCATTGCTTTCTTCCTTTCTTTTTGTAATCTTTTGGGACCTACTAAAATCTGCAGATGTTGAACAGGAAGGAAAACGCTATGTGCATCTTTTCTGTCTAACCCGGCATTGGAATTTCTATTTCCTTTCAGGTTTGACTTTGAAAGTTTGGAGAACAACGTGGAAAACTCGATGGACAAGTCCAAACCTTGGAGCCGATCTATTGAGGACCTGCACAGAGGCAGTAATTTACCCTCGCCAGTTGGCAACAGCATTTCTCGCTCTGGCAGACACTCAACTTTACGGTAAGGCGTTTAATCAGGCAGCGGGTGACCTGCAAACAGTGAGTGCCCAAGTGAGAAGAGTCAATATGTTTTTTCCAATTAGAATATTTTTCATCTTCCCTCTTTTCACAGTATAGGCTTGACATGTATAGGAAATGTGGCATTGTACTGATGTTTTGAGGTGGAAAGAAGTGCTAAGCTAGTAACTTGGGGCAGCATTACACAGCAATTGAGGAAAAGACAAGAATAACTCTGCCTCCCTTTCCAGTGACAGCATGATCTAAAGATGCTCAATACTTTTCCATCAGGTACAACGTGGCTTGCACAGAGGAAGCGGTTCCTCTTCTCCAAAATGTATCTCAAGATTTCCATGGACCCAGCCAGTCTGGGGCTCTGATCTGGTGTCTTGTCCAAAAAGGTCTCTTCCAGCAGCGCATTCCTTCCATGCTGCTATGAACAAGATTTTTTTTTTTAATGAAAGGCCACTCTCATCCTTCAAACCTGCTGTTAATTCTAGCACTACCCCGGGCTTTACTATGAAGTCTCTCTTTCCAAATACTGGTGTTTTTTTTGGTTTGGTTTTTTTTTTTTAGTTTGTGAAAAAGGCAGGATCACTTCCCAGGACTGAATGGCAGTCAACTCTCTTACATTCCTTTGATGCTTCACTATTATAAAACATACTAAACACCACCTTTGTTCTAGCAGTACTGTCACCTAGGGGGCGCAGCTCAGAGTGCTGAATTCTTTTTGACTTTTTTTTTGGCTTTTACGGAGTTTTGTTACATAGTACTGTGATGAGCATAGAAGAGTCCAAAAAAGATGGAGCTGGTGAGGACTTGCAGCTTTTTCCTACGTCTTCCAGCAGAGGTTCAGTTTTGCTTTGTCAGTCAATGGTAATGTTGGCTCTGTAGTTGACGTTAAGTGAGTGCCTTCCACCTACAGCCTGAGTGGTAGCGGATGTGATACCTGGAAGATGGAGTTCACAGACATCAGGCAGTAGAGAGAGACAGACACACAGTTCTGGTAAAGAAATACAGGCTGTGGAGTGCAGCAAAATCACTTGACCAGTTGATTCTTTTTTTTTTTTAAATGTTGCAAAGGTATTCTTATTGGTTTTGGCTTTCTTTCATCTTTAACTACTATGACAGAGAAACGGTAGAGTCTTGTGCTTGCAGGAGGATGTCTGATTCTGCTCTCTGTCTTTGGGAGGTATGCTTGTGATTAGTTACACTAGAAATGGACGTCAGGTATACATTACATGTTTCTTACATTTTTTTCTCTTCATTTCCTTCCATCCTGTTTCCTTTTTCACATGCCCCTTTATTCCTTACCTTTTTTATTTTCCATTTCAATGTTTCCTTCCTCGCATCCTTCATTTCCTTCCCTCTTTCAAACGCTCTTCTCCAATTCTCTCTCTCGCATCCTTCCCTCCTCTGCTGTCATCCACCTTTCACATACCATGAGATTGGTTTCTTTGCCTGAGCAACTTCAGTTCAAACGCTGCCAGAGCTGCTTTTCAGCCAACTGCCTCTGGAGCGGCTTCACTGCGCGCTCTGCCGATGAGGCTTCGAGCCGGAAAATCTCGTAAGTCCCAGGTGCAAGGTTACACGCAGCACGGGCTGTGCAGGGCATGGGAGCCGCGTGGCTAGCACCGCTCTCTATGCCTTATAATCTGGTAATCACACGTCTTGGTAAAGCGACTGCCTGGGCATCAGGGGGACTTTTCAGTCTCCAAAACGTGCGTTTATCACATTATAATTTCAAAGTGTAGTTTGCTTCCGTAGAGCGGGATTTTCTAAAAGAAAATAAAATGTGTTTTACTTTGAAACAAGATACTAGTTTTCTTTATCATATTGCAAGTAGTATTATTAGTTTCATACCTAAGACGTAGAGCCGTTAGTCATGTTATTTCATCTTTTTTATTACAAATAGAGGCTTTATGCGTATCCAAAACTGGCACAGAAACAGAACCTAGTACAGTGCTTTTCAGCCAAGTGCCCCGTCCTGCCTGCAGAGTCATCATTGTACCGGGGCAGCTTGGGCAGAAATTGTCCAACATTTACGTGGAATTAGCATCTTTAGTTTGTGTTTCATAAAAAAAATAATTCTGTGTTTTAAAATGTGTATTTTTTCAATAGCTGGGGACTATGTGTATTAAAAAAAGTAAAGCTAAAAGGAGGTGGGAAGTTTTTAAGAAGGGTTTTTTTGTATAATTAGTAAATATTGGTTAACTGAAAGAGATCTTTTCCTGAGAACAAGCTAGGTGCTCATCAAATGAGGAGGGTGTGCAGGATGGTGTTTCTGGTCAAAATCAGGAGGGTCCTGCCTCGTCACTGAGTAGACAATGTGTCTGGGATATGCAGAGACCCAGGGCATAGGTTCTTCTGTCTTTGTTATGAAAACCATTAAAATGGAGAGAAAGGAAGAAGCGGTCCTTCCTCTTGGATGAAAAAGGAGAAGGCTGACAATCTTAACAGGGTAATTTAAAATTCAGGAGCTGGACTCATCCCTGCAATGCCACAGCAGTATGAAAAATGAGAACAGATTTGGCCTGGATTCCTTTTTATGAAAACAGCAAGAAGATTTGGGGAGACAGTGTTCCGTGCCAGCTTTAACACCATTTTTTCTCATTTTTGGTGCCTGGATGGCACCAGTTCTCCTGCTTGTCCTCAGGGTTCATTAGCAGTAAACCGGCTGTAGCCCTTGGAACCCTGCACGGTCCCAGCTGATGTGTGCTGTAGACATTTAATTATAGCAGAAGGAATACGAGATAAGCACAAAGTAACACTAGGAAGTACTGGCAGGGTCATAGCCCTTGCACGCTTGCAAACGATGCGGCTCCATTGCAGTGAGCAGTTCCCTTGCAACCAGCCAGGGCACGCTTGCTGCGGTGTGAACTCACCCGGTGGTGACGTGGGCACGGAGGCTTTCTGTCTGTTCATTTGCGTGGCTGAGGCTATCCACTTCTAATTGTGACTTTAACTGGCTTCCTGTAGCTCTTTTTTAGTAGTGCTAAACCCTGCCAATTCCCTGCTCACTGGGTTTCCTTGGCAACTTAGGTTTTTTTTTTTTTTAAGATGAGGCACAGGGATTTGGGAAGCAAACACCAAAATGAGGGCAGAAGGATAAAAACGGGGATAAACCTTTGGGGATTTTATTGCTGCTTTTTTTGGGGAAAAAGAGCATTACTTTCACATGAAAGTTATACTCTCCTGTCAGATAAATATTAATGCAGACTTTGTAATGTCCTAGCCCATTAGAAATTCCCTTTGTTCCGAGTCAAATACTTCAGTTTTTATGTGGATTGAACTGAGAAACTTCATTTATTTCTTCAAAATCTGTGGAGTCCATAATGAGAGAGCGAGCCAGGCAAACGTATCTTAATCCATAAATGGGCTTTGAATGCATTCAATAAGTGGACTCAAATTTGACGCTGCTTTGTATGCTACAATGATTTAATTTGGACTTCGCCATTAACGCTTTCACTGCTCAGGGAATTTTTTTTTCAGTCATAATTTTTGTCAGATACTTGCTAATTTAACAGAGCGTATTTTTGAGCAGCCAGTTGTCAGTCTCGTGGTTCTTCTGGTTTCTCTATCTGAAGACGACGATTTTTACAGACCTGAGACAGGCATTAGTCAGGCAGTGGGGTCTCTGGTAGCTGAGGGTAGCTCCAATGCAATATGCACCCATTTTTGCACAGCCTGCTCGGTGATGTTTTGGGGTATTCGTAGGTAACTGTCCTGGTCGAACTGGGGGAGAATCCCCTACAGTACCCATCTGTGTTTGCGTACAGAGGTGAAGAAACATGCTCATTCCCTTGCATGAAGTTACCTGGGATGTGCACAGCGTGGCAGGGCTGCGCACGACCTGGGTGTGCATTTATGTCTGTAGTCACACACTGGCTCTGTAGCCTGAGAGGAGGGAGGGAGACCAAAACCGGCTATTCCGATTTCTTTTCTCACCTTTTTTAAGCAGCAAATACTTCCTCAGCTTTACGGATTAATAATTTTCCCAGATTCTGTTGGATGAAGACAAAACCAGCAGGCTCAAAGTAATTTATTTTCTTTACGCTTGTGGCACAAACCAGCCTTGTCACCTCTGTTTGAAGTGGCAGAAAAGAGACATTTTCGGGTAGCATGGCTACCTGCTCTGGCTTCCCTTGCACGAGCAGAGGAGCTGATTGCACCTCACTGGTTTTGATGCTTAGGGGGGCCACCACTGGGCACAGGCTCGTGGTCTTTCCCTCTCTGGCCCTCGTCCCGTGCAGAAGGGTGCAAGTTCAGTGTCCCCACGTCCAGCAGACCCGGCTTGTAACTTGCTCTAAGAGATCAGGGAAATCCAAAGTTAGTAGGAAGCAGAAGCACCAAGACCTTCCTCTTCCAAAGTCCCTTTCTGCTGTCAGAAGGACGTTCATAATACAAACATCACCACCTCCAAACCACCGACAACAAAACTGCAGAAATGCGATCCAAAAACCACCAAACCCCAATGAAAACCAGGAGTCCCAGCCCACACAGAGCTGAGCGAGCTGCCGGGGGCGGTGAGGTCCGTCCTGGGCTGTCCTCTGCTCTCCCTGCTCCTACTGTGAGGGAGCCAGCGTAGACAAAGGAGGGCATGATATTCTTTAGCAGATAATAAGATAAAAATGATAGGAGAAACCAGCTGTAATTTGTATTTGTTATTAACGCAGCGCTTTGGAAGTCTACACCATTGGACTGGGCACATGTCCTCGTTTTAAGCATGAAATTCGTTTTAAGCATGAAGGTCCTCCCATCGCAGTTGGCGGAGATGGCAGGATTTTGCACTGAGATTTGTGCTCACTTACCATGGTGGGAAGGGCTTTTATTTACTTTGAGTATCCCAGTTCGTTGTGTAGGTGGTTTTTATGATCCATCTGTGGGTCTTCAGTGTCAGTGTGAGCTGTTTTGCACCAGAAGATGCTGTTGTGTATTGCGTTTTCTAGGTCTTGGTTGTAAGTAGGTAGGTCTTGGTTGTAAGTGTAAGTGCTGGATGAGTCT